CCACTCCAATATCTTCGCTAAGAAAACCCCAAATGGGGTCACAAAGAATTGGACATGACTGAAATGACTTAACAACAACCAGAGCTATGCCACAAAATTCCCTGGACCCTCTTCACTCCCAATTCAATTTAGTGCCTGAATTTCATCCCTTCCCTAAAATCCTTTATATCATGTTATCCCTTATATCACGCTAAACCACACTATAAAATGCTAGTTATTATTATCATTCCCCTAGCCTTATAAGAGGTGCCTATATCTTGTTTGTCCAGTTGTTATCTCATTCAGTCAGCAATTTCTACTTCCCTCTATTTCCTTTCTATTTTTATTTTTACAAGTTAAAAGCTGGAGAAAATCTTTGAGTCCTCCTTTTACAAATGAGAAAACTGAGGCCTATGAAAGTAGACTGATTTGTCCATAGTCACATAACTAATAAGCAGCAGAGCTAGAATCTGAACCCAGGTCCTTTGACTCCCGACCCACTGCTTTTCCTACTGTTCCATGCCGTATTCTAACACTAAATTTCTGGTCTGGGTCTTGCCTGGACTATAACATAACATTTTATGTTTGTAAAGTATAATTTACATATACTTTGTATATAACTTATATTTGTAAAGTATATAATACTTTGAAGTATTGAAAATATTTTTAAATTTAAGATCTAACTTGATCTTCACAGCAACCCTATATGATAGATATATCAGGAATAATTAGTTACTTGACAGATGAGGAAACAGAGAACTGATTTTCTCATAGTAATATAGTCAATCTGGAAAAAAGAATCTAGGCCTCTTCACTTCTGGTCCAAGACAATCTGGTCCAGATACCACTTACCATTACCTTTAAGTCAGCCTTCATTTCTCTTGTTCATCTCCCCTCCAACCAATTTAGAAGAATATCTAAATAACAACTGTATATAGCACTTTAAAGTATTAAAAAAAAACACTTTCTTTATAATAACCCTGAGAGGTAGTTAATACAAGTCATATTGTACTCATTTTATGGAACTGGAACCTGAGTTCTTGAAGGATTAAGTGACTTGACTGTGGTGGTAATCATCAATTAATAGATCAATCAACAAACAAGAAGTTATTAAACACATATTATGTGCCAGGCAGCAGGGACAAAAAGACAAATGTGAAAGTCTCTGTTCCTAAGAAGTTTACAATCTAGCTGAAGATGGCAACATACAAATATTTTGGAGTTGTCGGTCAGTCATGTCTGACTCTTTGTGATCCCATTTGGAGTTTTCTTGGCAAAGATACTGGAGTGGTTTGCCATTTCCTTCTACAACTCATTTTACAGGAGGCAAACAGTGTTAAGTGACTTGCCCAGGGTCACACAGCTAGTAAGAGTCTGAGACCAGATTTGAAGTCAGGAAGATAAGTCTTCATGATTCCAGGCCTGGCACCACTTCTCTGCCCTGTGTACAAAGTAGATAAACTAGATACAAGATAATTGGGGGAAGTGATTAAGGAACTAGTACCTGGGCACTCTGAAGAATGAAAAGGATCATGTAGAAAGTGGTATTTGAGTTAAGTTGTGAATGAAAGGAAGGATTCTAAGAGGCAAAAGTCAGAGGGTAGTGCATTACAGGTATTCAGGACTGACAATGGGAGAGAAAATGTTGTATATGAGAAGCAAAAAGGCTAATATGGCTAGACTGTAGTACATATGAAGAAGAGTAGTATAATATGGCTGGAAACGTAAGAAGAGGCCAGGTAAGGAAGAGCTTTAAAAGCCAAACAGAGGAGTTTTACATTTGATCCTGGAACTGAAGTTTAGTGAATAGAGGAATGACATGTTCAAACCTCTGCTTTAGGAAAAATCACTTTGGCAGGTAGGTGGAGGATGTATCAGAGTGAAGAGGTTAGAAGCAGGGAGATCAATCGGAGGCCATTGCAAGAATGTAGGAGATCAGTGATGAGGACCTGAACTATGGTTGTCACTATGTGGGTGAGTATAGGACAACGAACCCAGATTAAAATCTAGCTCTCCTAACTTTAAATACTTTCCACTATCAATCTCTCACATTCTTTTTCCTAATTCGTCTGCTGCTACACCCTGCAGACCCCTGGGGACTGCTTTGTGATCTGCCAAAATAGTCTAAAGGGCAGCTAAGCAGTACGTGGATAGAGCCCTGGGTCTGGAGTCAGGAAGACCTGAGTTCAAATTCGATCTCAGACACTTACTAGCTGTGTGACCTTGGGCAAGCCACTTAACCCTGTTTGTCTCAGTTCCTCATCTATAAAATGAATTGGAGAAGGAAACAGCAAACCACTCCAGTATCTTTGCCAAGAAAACCCCAAATTGGGTCACCAAGAGTCAGCGCCCTAGGCCTTGTCATCAGTCTTACCACTGAAACCTAAGGACCTCCGGGACTTTCTATCTGCCCTACAGATGGTCCCTCCTACATGTATTGTCTCCTCTGACTAGAACGTGAGCTCCCTGAGAGTAAGAACTGTCTCTGTTTTTTAACTTGTATCCCCAGCACTTGAGAAGCAGCATGGTTTGAGCTGGGCTCAAGGCTAGGAAGTCCTGCTTCCAGGGTTTAAATTCTGCTCCTGACACATTTAAGTCCCTAACACTTTCGAAGCCTATAAGCTATAGAGAAGGTGCACTGATAGAAGTTTCCTTATCCAGGTCATCCCTGCACCAATGAAAGCCCAGACCCAGTCCTGATCCCCAGCACTTCCCCAGCACAAACAAAGGGCTTGACACTTTTTCATTCACTCTTTAAAAAACTCCAATGGCTCCTCATAGACCTCTGTAGCAAATCTGCATTCCTTACTCTGAAGTCTGAAGAGGGATCCCTTCAACCAGTCTCCTCCAATTTATCTCTTCATTTGTATATACACTGCTGCAATATTTCCTGTCTTCTCTGTCCAGTTGTTCCCCGGCGTAAAGTGCCACATTCCCCGCACTTGGAACAACATTACTTGTCTCCAAAACCTAGGAAGCTAATATAATTCTAACAGATTTCTCTGATTAAGAAGAATAAGGATATATACCTCACTCCCATGCAAACCTTCTAAAATCCATTTAATAGCATTTAGAGTAGAAAGTTCAACTCTAAATGAGGCACACAAACGTGAACATATATTCAGTAAATGAGAGAGTAAGTACTGGAACCCAAGATCTTTCTATTAAATGGCTGCTGAATAAATATCCATAAGTTCTTGAAACCTAGGATAGCCTGATCTTGGTGGGTGACAGGAGCATGACCACAGGAGTAGAACAGGTCATACAGAGAGCTTAGAATCAGAGCTGGTGGGGACCTTAGAACTCATCTAGTCTACATCTCTCATTTTACAAATAAAAAGCCTGGTGCCAAGACATTAAGGCACTCACTCAAATTCACAAATCTCAAACTGGACATCCCATAAATATCTTAAACTCAACATGGCCATAACTGAACTTATTATCTCCACCCCACCCTCAAACTTTTCCCTCTCCCTAAGTTTCTTATCTCCCTACCTTTACATCTCTCCTCTATATTCCTTTCTTTCCTCTGACATTGCTACTACTCTGATATAGTCCCTCATCATCTCATTCTTGGACTATTTCAGTAGTCTTCTAATTAGTCTCCGTGCCTCAAGTCTTTCCCCACTCCAGTCCATCCTCCACTCAGCTCTCAAATTAATTTCCCTAAAGCATAGTATATCTGAATATGTCACACACACTTTCTACCATGCCCCCTTCCCCAAGTAAATATACTCTAGTGGTTCCTATTATCTCCAGGTTTAAATATAAGAAAAAATTCCCATTTGCCATTTCAAAACCCTTCATAACCAGCCCCTACACCTCTCTTCCCATCTTCTTACATCTTACTCCCTACCATGTACTCTGAAATCCAGTGACACCTGCTACTCCTCTCACTCTGCATTTGGCCTAGCTGACTCCCTGTGTTTGGAATGTTCTCTCCTCATTCTCCACCTCCTGCTATTCCCCTTAATTCTAGGGTCATTCTTCTGTTGTTTACTTTTTTTTTTGGCTAGGCAACGGGGCTAAGTGACCTGCCCTGGGTCACACAGCTAGTAAGCATTACGTGTCTGAGACCAGATTTGAACTCAGGTACTCCTGAATTCAGGGCCAGTGCTCTATCCACTGTGCCACCTAGCTGCCCCTGTTTATTTCCAACTTATCCTATACATATCTTGTTTGTAGATAGTTGCTTGTCTGCTGTCTCCTCATTACACTATGAGCTCCTTGAAAGTAGGGACTAGTTTTTGCCTCTCTTTGTCCCCCAAGAGCTTAGGGTAGTAGAGGCAAGATTTGAACCCAGGTCCTCTACCTGGAGTCTAAATCCAGCACCTCTTCCACTCTATGTATTCCTCTTATCTTTGAGGATGCAATCTCTGAAGCAGCATTTCCCCAAGTCTTAGCATATAATTAAGGGGGGGGGGAACAATAAAGGAAATTTACACTGAATCTGAAGTAGTAGTAACTGCTGACAAGTTGATGAGATTCGGGGGAGAGGGGGATATGGAAGACAGAGGGAAAGGGAGAGGAGTTGGGGGAGAAAGGGGGAGGAAGAAGGGGAGGGATAGGAGAGGAGGAAGAAGAGAGGGAGGGAGACAGAAAAGGGGGAGAGAGGGAGACAGAGGGAGAGAAAAGGAGGGAAGGAGAGAGAGAGACAGAGACAGAGAAAGTAAGGCGTGACCTTGCCAGGATGCAGGTGTGTAAATACGTCTATAAGTCCTGGTGAATCTGAGTGTCAACTTGTAACTCGTGCGAGTGCACGTGCGCTCGCTGTCTAGGGCACCGACATGTCCGGAGTGCGTGTGTGAGTGTTTCGGTGAGTGTGAGTATGGTGTGTGTGTGCGCGCGCGTGTGTCTGTGTGCACACACGCACTTCAGTCCGTCCCAGGTTCTTACCTCTACTGAGGACCAGGTGGACACCTCTGGGCGCCGCCATGTTGGGGAGGTCACGTGGTCAGGAGCCACCTTTCCCCTCCCCTCCCCTCCCCCTCCTTCCACTGCCCCCGCTGCCTTACTCCGACTGCTTGTGGCGCTCCTAATGACTTGGGAGAGGGGGTGGGGAGAAACTGTAGTGGAGTCGAACGGAGGAGCAGCGCGCGTGCGCGCGGAGTGACTGACTGCGGGAGCTCTGGCCCTGGAGCACCCCGGAGCCTGGAGGAGAAGCCGACCTAGGCGACCCGCAGCGGCAGCGGCCGCTGCAGCCTCCCGGGCTCCTCCACCCGCTCCTCCCACGGCGCCCCCCTCCCGCCCCCGCGCTCACTAGCGGGTGAGATGCTGGAAGACTGTCAGGTAAGGGTTGCAGCAATATTTTTGGCATCGCTTTGGTGCATGAAAATGTGAAGCCGGCAAGATTTTGGGAGGAAAAAAAAATACAACCATCAGCCGGTCTTAGAATAAACAGCTTCTGTCACTTTTTTTTTTCTTTTGCAAATTATTTTCCGTGTCGGAGCTTCGGGGTCAAGTCTTTTTCGAAGTCATCATCAGCCGCTGCTCCATTGCTCTGTTTCCCCAGAGCATCCCGATCACCACCTTGCTACTCAGCAAGACAGGGAGGACCCGTGTGGCTAATGAAATTAACCCCATACACTGGGTCATTCGTGAGCAGGGAATTTTCTCCTTTTTTCAGTGATAACCTTTGCCATGACAATTTCTGAATCCTGAGTTGCCCTCTTAAGAAACAGTAGAAGAATCAGAAATGAGATGTGGAAAGATCATTGGATTTGGAGTCTGTTACCTTGGACGAGTTACTTAATCCTTCAGGCTACTAGTTTCCTCATCTGTGGAATGGGTATAATAACAATACTTGCCCTACTCACCTTCCAGGTTACAGTGAGAAAATCAGGCTGCAAAACTTAAAGCAAAACAAACAAAGCAAAAACAACCAATAACCCTACAGCGCTACATAAATGTGAGATGTCTCTAAAATAACTTCCAACTTTAAATCCAAAGATTCTAGGAAATAGAGGTGGGTTCCAGGCAATTTCACTGCATATAGATAGGGAGCAGAGAAGGCTAACTGGTCTCCATCACATTGAGGTACGAATGCCCTATCCCACCTCAAGAATAGCCATTTGTTTGAATTGCATTATCTTGTTTGACCTAGTCTAGTGCCCCATCACTCTTTGGGCCAGTCTAGATTTCCATCATCACAATGAACCCTGCATAACATCATCCAACCAAAGCTCCAGAAGTAAACTTGCCTTTTTAAAAGTCGTGGCAATGCAGTAAGGGTCATTGTTCAATTTGCATGATGTCTTATGATATGAATCTTTGATTTAAGGAAAATTAAGTATGATAGCTCACCAGAGGGAAGATACTAAATAGTTTTATTTTTGAAAACCAAATTATGTGCTTTTGAGGATAACCTTCAAAGATAAAGGTGGAGCATGGTTCTGATTTCTTTCTGAATGAAGGAAAATGAGATGTACAGGTTTTCCCTCAAAAATAGATAAAATCCTTTGTTATGTCATGAGAGGCTCTGTTTTTCCAAACTTGAACATTCACTAGGGCAGGAATTCTTAACCTTTTTGTGTATCATCAGTTCCTTTTTGCAGCCTGGTAAAGCCTATGGGGCCCTTCTCAGAATACGGTTTTTAAATAATTGAAAAAAATGCTAAATTTCAGTTAGAAGTTAGCAAAGATAAAGGTGTAATTTTTAAAATTTTTTAATTTTTTTAAGGATGACCTGTTAAGACCCCTTGCTCTAGTGAAAAGAACATCTGAGTCACTTGAAGACTTTCCTAAGCAGCCCATGCTTCTTACTCAAGTGCAGTGGGAAGGGTAGGAAAGCTGTTTAAGTACATGAAAGACATAGTAGTATTGGGGGGGGGGGGGGGGGGGTGAGACAAGGAAACTATATAGACCCTAGCTGAATGACAAAAACCATTGACATGGAAAATATATTCCTCTGATTCAGCTAATTGACTATCCAAACAAAATATACTATCTTTCAATGCTGTTAGAAGATAAAATAACAATCATAATCTATAATTTTAGTACAGCTTTAGGGTTTACAAAGTGCTTTGAAGAGCAACCTGTTAAATGGTACTTATTTAACCATGTACTGTGTACCATGAAATAGAAGAATCATGGAACTTCAGAGATGGGTAGAGACCCCAGAGGTCATTTAGTTCAATTCTCTTACAGATAAGGAAATTGATTCACAGGAATGTGAAAAGATTTGCCTAGGGTCCCCCAGCTAGTGAGTGGCAGAGTTGATGTCTAAGACCCAGATCCCTTGATTTTCTGTGCAGTGTTCTTCTATCATATAGTGGGAAGGAACTTTAATTATCCAGATTCAACTGGCAATAAACCAGTTACAAACTGATACAAGTGGTGTCTCATCCAAAGACCTTAGATCTAATTTTCATCCTGCTATATCCTTCTGGCCTTAGAAAGACTTGGAAGTCATGGATTTAATCTTCTAAAGGCATTAATTTACATTAAAGTATGTATGTAGGATAAAGGGAGCAGCTAGACTGCTAAAGAATCTCTCAAGTCCTTTCATTCCATGAGTTTGAGTAATAGAGAGCATTTGAGTGGAAACTGATAGATTTAGGGGTCTGTTCTAAGTTCTACCATTTATTTGCTGAGTAGCCAGTAGCACTAAGTTACTTCTCTACCTCTGTGATGTGGGAATTAATCATACTATAAAACTGCATTATTTTGGAAGTAACAATAATTCAGACACTGTATATGTGGTTGTTATTGAGTAAAACTGTTTGAAACAATTTCTTCCTCTGCAGATTTTCAGGGTCTTGCAAGGGGAATCCAATCTAAAATAAGTAACTTTTTCAAACCAAAGGCTAAAGAAATAATGGCTCCTCCAACGCGCCTTCAGCTACTGCTTTCAAATAGTTCATTCTTGTTAAAAGATGTTCATTCTTGATTCGGTATGGTTTTTTTAGTGTTATTTTGAATCATTATTTTTAAATTAACTAGGTTTTTCATTAACTTAGTAGCAACAATTCATATTGGGTAGGAATATGTAAAATGTTTTATAAAATGTATTGTATTTGATAGCAACAAAACTGCTTTTATGAAATATATTCTCACCCTTCACTAAGTAAAATCGGCCCTTTCTTCTCACCTCCCACCACACTATTTATTATATGTGGCTGTACCCCACTTTTCATAATACATGTGTTCCTGAAAAGTATAAAAACTGAACTTTTATATATTCATTCACATCCAAAATGCAAGAGAGCCTAGTACTTCTCAAGGAATTCTCAGGCAAATCTTTTTGTAAAGTAAATAATGCTTTTGTGATGCTAATAACCACCTCCTAATTAATGTATTATAAATTTGGATTTTTTAATAGGCTAGTTTTTTTTTCATGGAACACATCTGTACTTTTTTTTTTCCCAACTGAGACAAAGGTGCTTTGAAATCCTTAGATGAAAAATGTTACATAGATATGCATTACAGTTTAATTAGAAATAATGTTGTATTTCCTGCTGGAAAGAAAGCAGGATCAGATGGCCCCTCAAGGAAACTGGGAAAATGCTAGTGGCCTGGCAACCTGAGCAGCTTTTAAAGACTTGTCCAAGGCTAAGGTTGCTTCAGTTTTAGCTCTGGGCCCCAGCTCTCAGTTTTGCTATTTGATCCTGAAAATCAGTATTTTAACTAAATAAGATATAATAAATCATTCAGTATTATACTCTGTGACCTGAAAGAACATTTCCAGTCCTCTGTTAATTTAATCATGCCAACTTAATTTTTGTGCAAGTAGTTGTGAGAACTTCCCATAATTTTTGCCTTTCTGATTCAGTTGTTTCATGAATTTCACCATCAAAAAAGGTATTTTTATCCTTTTTTTTCCATTTAATTCCACTTCAAAAAATTAGTGCAAAAGTAGATTTAATGAATCTTTATGATGCCCTAAATGTAGATGTAACTTTTTGGTCAAAATATTTTTCTTTTGGGGGAGGGAGGCTAGATAATTATGTTGTTGAGGTTTTTTGTTTGTTGAAGCGAAGGAAATGAAAGCAAAATAAAGATATATTTGATTTGTAGCACATCCTCCAACTCTAGTTTACCAGATTTCTATTTGAAAGTCATTTGGTAAACAATAACTCTTAGAGTAACACTCATTCTCTTAGCTTGCTTTGAAAACAGTGTCTTTACCCTATTTAGGACTTTCTGTTCCTCAAGACATGCCATCTGCTGACTCCCTGAATTTTCACTGGCTGTCCCCCATGTCTGGAATTTTCTCCACCCTCATCTCTTCCCCACGGCTTCCCTGTCTTCCTTCAAGTCCAAGATTAAAATCCCACCTTCTGCCGGAAATCTTTCTTAATCCCCCTTAATTCTCATGCCTTCCCTTTGTTGATTAGTTGCAATTTATTCTGTGTATATATCTTGTTTGTACATAGTGGTTTCCATGTTTTCTCCCACATTAGACTTGACAGCAGGGACTTATTTATTTATTTGTTTGTTTGTTTGTTTGTTTGTTTATTTTGCCTTTGTTGTATCCCCAGTACCTGGCACATAGTAGGTGCTTGATAAATGGTTAGTGATTGTGTTCCCCTAGGTAACTCCTAATTTGGTCATCACTGTGTGGCCATAATGGGAAATCATTTTAGTTGAGAGGAACGTTAGATTTTCTTTATGTATTGAAATACCTGCAACAGTTTAATTGGTTGCTATAATTTTGGATTATTTTGCATTGAGAGGAAATTTCTGGAACTTAAGAGCTGCCTATGTTAGAGGTAGTACTTTCACACATTGTCATCCATGGATCTGGACTTCCCTTGGGGGGAAGGGGATAATTTTTGCATTTCTGACCTTATAGCAACAATTCAAATGCCTTTTCTTTCAACCTTTCTCCAAGTTCAGCACTGGACAGTGATTTTGATGTCATTTTGAACTCAGTAGGAGTTTTTAGTTAAGTAAAAATTAAAGGGGTGAGGGATGTTTTTTTCTTTCTCTTTGCTCATTTTATAAGTGAAATAAAATCATTTTTCCTGAACCCAGTCCAACCCAATTTAGCGCCTTCCCCTCCTAACTCCCACAGTCAAATTTGTGAACAGAAATGCTATTCATCATTTGACAGCCAGAAATAAGTATTTCAATTTATCACCACCCCCATTTTACTGCCAATAATAGTGGTGGACAATCAGTGGCATGAAATTGGCAGTAGACTGAACATTTAAAATGATGCTTACCTTTCCTAATTATATGACGTCTAGTGACAGTTGTTGCTTGAAGATAAAGGGAAAACATGTACATCAATATTTGTGGAGACTCAAATTACAAAAACTTGGTTCTTCTTAATAAAGGAAGCCCTG